GGTTGCAGAGGGAACGCGAATCAGGGCTCATCGAATCGTGCTTTCTACATGTTCAGATTATTTCAAAGCCATGTTTACAAATAACATGGCAGAAAATCGCAAAGAGGAAATCGAAATTCTGAATGTGGAATCCGGAGCGCTCATGGCTCTTATTGATTTCTGTTACTCCGGAAGAATACGGATCAGCGACAACAATGTGCATAGCATTTTACCTGCTGCTTGCTTGCTCCAGTTGAGCGAAGTCCAGAGCTCCTGCTGCAAGTTCCTCAAGGACATTATGGATTGGAAAAACTGCTTGGAAATACGAGCGATTGCCGACACTTATACATGCCGAAGACTTCTTCGCAGCGCTAAGAGTTACATTCTGCATAACTTCCAGTACGTCGTTGGCAATGAGCATTTGTTGGCAGAACATGGTGCAGGAATGAAAGCGAATTCGGTGAACACTAAGGTCGAGATGCAAGATGGGGTGCACATTCTTGAATATCAGAGTTCTGCTCACTATCTATTCTTTTTCACCCTGTTGGCAGAACATCGTGACGTGCTAAGTGATGTGACTCTGGTTGCAGAGGGAACGCGAATCAGGGCTCATCGAATCGTGCTTTCTACATGTTCAGATTATTTCAAAGCCATGTTTACAAATAACATGGCAGAAAATCGCAAAGAGGAAATCGAAATTCTGAATGTGGAATCCGGAGCGCTCATGGCTCTTATTGATTTCTGTTACTCCGGAAGGAATACGGATCAGCGACAACAATGTGCATAGCATTTTACCTGCTGCTTGCTTGCTCCAGTTGAGCGAAGTCCAGAGCTCCTGCTGCAAGTTCCTCAAGGACATTATGGATTGGAAAAACTGCTTGGAAATACGAGCGATTGCCGACACTTATACATGCCGAAGACTTCTTCGCAGCGCTAAGAGTTACATTCTGCATAACTTCCAGTACGTCGTTGGCAATGAGCATTTCTATGAACTTCCTCTGAATCAGCTTATTGAATTCATTTCTAGTGATGAGCTAAGTGTCCGTTCAGAGGAGCAGGTTTTCGATGCAGTTCTTCAGTGGATTAAGTTCGACCTGCCAGTAAGGCGGAAACTTCTTCCAAAGCTGTTGGAGCATGTGCGACTTCCGCTTTGTTCTCCGAAATTTCTGGCCATTACACTGAGTGAAAACGACTTGGTAACGGGTGATGCAGCTTGCCGAACTCTTCTTGATGAAGCAAAAACTTATCAACTTCTGAAACTGTCTTCACCTGAGCCACCAGACGTTCAAGGGCCACCACTCAACCGCGTAAGCCACCCAGAGTTTCGTGAAATAATTGTAACGCTGTGGGAAGACACACAAGGAAGAAGCCCTTGAGTCGTGTAGACGCGCATTGAATCTTGACGAAGCGGAACCTGTATGGCGTCGAGTTGCCTCCATGAGCAGGAGAAGACGAGGACTCGACATTACGCTTCTTCTCGACCACTTCCTATACGCTGTTGGTGGCTTGGATGGCACAACGTTTCTGAATAGCATTGAGAGCTACGACCCTTGGCGAAACGTATGGACCGCAAGCGGCACCAAAGAAAACAGGAGCGTGCGGCTGAACACGCGTTCAGCAAAATGGAGCTCGGACGAGCTGAGGACAGCTCGCTATAAGGGGAGGGGGCATGTTGAGGAAGGAGCGCTCTTGTATGCATGACGGGTGCTCAATCTGTCGATTGCGGTGGCGATCAATACGCCTACGAGGGAAAGGGCGCGAGCAAGCAGTTTGGGCGGCTTTCGGACTAAATAAGGATTCGTTGCGAAACTAGTGCAGAGTTTTCTTGTTCTCTTCGGCCGACTACTCCAACAGCGTTGCTCACGCCTTTCCCCATTCTCGATTACTACTTCTGTTCCAGAGCCACGACAACATTCCGGACGTCGCCGCAGTTGAGTGGTTCAGCACCTATTCTTTCTAGCTCATCGTTCGCTCTGCGTGGAGAAATTGTTTTCCTCGGGGACAACGACTTCTCTAACACCGCGGTGCGCTAAAGTATGTTTGCCCGCATTCTCCCCTTTTTTCCTGTGTACATTTTCGTGAATCTCCAGGAGCTGTTTTTTTATCTCTATATTCCTCAGTAGTATTGCGTTGTCGTAATAAATTGTTACCCTGTCGTGGTCGAGTACATTGACGAGTGGTTCGTAACCATCATACTTTTTCACAATATACATAACTGGTCAACTTTATCGAAGGCTTTAGATAAGTCGATAGTGAAGTGAGATAGTGAATAACATCGATTGATTTTCTCTGATGAATTGCTATGTTCCAGTCAAATAGGGTATCAACTAGGTTTGTTGCAGTTGAACCGCCAGGCAGAAAGCCGTTATGATGTTCCGGTACAGCTTTGATCCTGTATAACCAAGACAACATCTTATTTCTGACAATTTTTTCCATTGCTTTGATCGGAGTTGAAGTGAGACTTATTGGACGGAATTCAGAGACCGATTGTGCACCTGGAGCTTTGGGGATACCTGTAACTGTACATGTAGAGCTTCTTTCCACAGGTCAGGTACTTCAGCCAAGAGAAATGAGATATTAAATAGGTGAGCCAAAGGTTTTGAGAGGGACGAGGCACACTTTTTGAAAACGATAGGGGGAATCCCATCGTACGGTTCAGTAATGGAGGGTTTAAGATGTTTTCAGTACCTTATAAATATCATATGGATGAAAGTAGATATCACTTAGACCTGGTTTCGTGTAACTAAAGCTGCGAAGCATTGACTCGTTGCTTGGATTTTCCGGAGAAAAAACGCTAGCAAAATAATCTCCCAGCGCCTTAGCCTTGTCAGAATCATTATAGCACTTATACCCATTGTTGTCGGTTAAAACAGACGGACGCCCAGAAAATTTCATTTTATTTCGAAGATAAACATGGAGATATTTCATTGAAGAGTGTGACGGTAATCGTGGCTCATAGTTCGCCCAAAACTTCTTCAAGTGATTATCTATATCAGAGCACTACCACTATCTTCACTATCTTTTTTGTAATAAGAATCATTTAGTGGGTTCTGTGAGCTATAAAAGACGCTCTGCTTCTGAGAAAAAAGGTTTTGGATATGACTAGGAAAACTTAATAGTGCTGATCGCTGGTGTCTCAGTCGAACAAAAGATCCAAATATTCTGTAAACTATTGAGCAAAATCTGCGGTATAGTTCGGATGTGGAAGTGTACTGATCGAATTCCTTCAACAGTCGATTTCATCGAACCTTTGGTTCAGCAAGGCATAGTTTACGTACAGAAAATCAGGCAGCGGGATCGAGAAGCTACCGGACAAGCGACATCCACAAGAAAGTGTATAGTTGAGTGATCAGATGTAGATAAAGGGGGACGGACAGTAATATTGTGCACAAGAGGGGAGGTTGTAAGGATGATATCGAGTGTATTATCCCCATGAGTAGGTTGCTTAACCTTAGTT